AGTACCTTCTGAGAAGGTGTGTGGGGTGGGTTTGGAGGGTCCAAATACCTTCTGAGGAGGTACTTGGAGGTGCATTCTTTGTGTATTACATTGTATTATATTGTATTACTGTGCACGCTGAGGCTCCAATGTCAGCCTCCACTTCGGTCTTCAGGGTGGGTGCCAGGAGGGTCTACAGGTACTGTACGTGGACTGGAGTTCTAGGGGTATGAAGCAATTTTAGACTCGAAATGACCCACCAAACCACATAGCTCAGGATTCCAATGACCCATGTCACCTTTTCTTGGAACTTGCAGGTTTCGTCACTGGAAACCTGGAAAAAGTGCCTTCAGGTTCCAGTTCCCTTTTTGAGTCCGTTTTTTGGCAGCTGAATCATACACCTCTAAGAAGATGGGTTCCCCGCCGTATGATGAACTCTACCGAATCGCTGGGCGCAGGAGGTGCCCTCTCGGAGGAGGACCAGGCGAAGCCGGAACAAGAGGGACGTGTTTGTTGGGAGGAGCAGAACAGCAGAGGAATGTGTTCACTACCCTACAGTCCCTGCCACTGCAAAGCGGGGTCTCCAGCCAGGACACGCCGATGGTCCAGGTATATAAGTATACAGGAGTGGTTTCAGAGCAGATGGCACAATCCTCATCAATCCTCATCAATCCAGTTAGGTGGTTTGGACATATTTGTGGTGGTGCTCCGTACTAGCCGAAACACACACTGAAAACGTGAGGACGGAGCGAGTGCCGCAAGCGCCTTCGTGTGGCTCCCCAATGGGGCGTGGGGAGATGTTCAGCTAGTGTCACATATACATGCAAGGGGGATGCACGCTTACGCCCTATAATCCATATTCTGACCCCCTCCCGTTTTGATGTCCTCCAACTTCTGTCGCACCTCCCGCTGCGTTCCATCCAATCACCTTGAAGCAGCCTCAAAAACCTGAGAATTTCGGTCGACTTTTGCCTGGAGCTGGGCAGATGTTTTGATGTGGCCCAAACACTGAACCGTTCTGGACGGATACACTCCCGAAAACTCACATAGACCCTGACGTCCTGGCCCCCTGGGTCCGAGTGTAGGCTCCTCTACCAACCGACGTGGTGTACTCAGGGTCCATGGGATCGTCTTCGAAGAAGAAACAAGATGAAATCTAATAAAATCTGTCCATTGGTTTTCATCGCATCCGTTTTGTTTTTGTTCCAGGGTTCTTCCAGGGTGTGAGATCGAAGTTCACCACTTCACCCTCCCCTCTGATCAGAGTTCTGAAGAAGAAGTCGGATGGTCGATGATGGTCGGGAAGTGACGTGCGAGCAGCTCACATGCATGGAAGAAGAATGGAACAAGTGACATGAGGTTGAACTTTTTGGCGGTTGAGGGCTGAAGAGGAATGATGGCACTGAAGGTCCGGTATAGTCGCCATCCCTGGTGTAGCATACCCCCACATGCCGAAAGGAACAGTTTCTTTAGTCCCTCATGGATCCATGGTTTGTCATCCACCTGCCACCCAAATTACACCATATGTACCAGGAAAACACTCCTGCTCGAGTAGTGGCAGCCATTTTTGGTCCGTTCGTCCACCAGTCCACGGTTTGAACCGCCACGTGGCCGTCCGTCCACCGTGTTCGAGGCCGAATACATCCAGGCCGGACACAGAGAAAAGGCATGGGAACATGGACCATCCATCCGATGCTTTAGATGGTGGGCAGAATGCTTATAGCATAGCATCTAGATTAGCCTTGGGATGTAGATTTGTTCAGGATGTGTTAGGACTCAGGACTTTCTGAAGGCTCGTGGTTGGTTGGTCGAAATCTATCTTTAGTATTTATAGTATGTGAAATATGTTCATGATTTGTTTTGATGTTTGGATTTGACGTTTGTTGAAGGGGTCATCTTAGGAGATGACTTGTTTGTGATCCAGATTGGACATTTCCATGTGAACTACGGAAGGGGTGCTGAGCAGATTGTTCGCAGTTCTCTTTGTGTATATAACACAGGTGTTTGAGGAGGGTTACGAGGTTCCGCGATGGGAAGATCATGGAAGAGCATCCAATCCTTGCAATCTAGATATATCAGCACGCTTGAAGATCCAGTCACAACCAGACACAAATGGTTGCTTCATGTTGTTTCCACAATATATTGTAATTGCTCGATCCTTTGCATAACAAGTGGTCGTCGTGGATACATCTGTTTTGCGGGGACTGGCTTTCCAGGCATGTGGCATGGATCTGGTTTTTAGTGATTGTTGTGGATGATCGATCGATGTACATCTGTGACGGGTGCATGACTTCGTTTTTGTTCCCCTGTTCTTGAATAGGCTCGTTCGTTCGCGCATGACCTGGTGCCCACTCTTGCAGTAGGGGTGTCTACCGAATCGAAACTTTGCGAGGTAGTCCGAGATGCCTGGCACTTGGTGCCTGAGCGACGGCGGGCCGAGAGTCCTCCTTAGCGTGAAGGCGCGCGAGTGGCCGGTTGGGTACAGTCTGAACGACTCTTTGGTGACAGCCCAACCGGGGGCACCCAAGGAATTCTAGGCCGGTCTTCCCATGGAGAAACCATGGAGAAACGATCCCCAAGCTTTGCGATATTGAGAAAGAACACATGAAGTCTTTAGCCCAGGAAAGAAGCACATGATAGCACATGCATTTATATATATATATACTTTAAGAGATAGAGCTACGCTGATTTTAGTTGCATCCTGCCGTTTTCTGGGGAATGGTGGGCCGGGGTGAAACAGGTCTGACAGAGAACAGGGCTTGTAAATAGATTGATCGAGTCAGAGATCAATCCATATGCCCAGACACTCCATTGGAATACCAGGAGCTACAAAGGGGTGGTGCTCAGTCCCTAAGTGAGTGGATAATGCGCACTGGGCTACATTCCTCGGGAGTTCACCACCAGTATGGTTTGAGGGGTCAGTGTAGGTTAGATATTCCATACGATACCAGTCCCATCAAGTCTCCTCAGGACACATGACAGTCTCACCCTCAAGGTGTCCGAGTGTCATATGGCTGGACCCAGCCCTGTTAACGACGCTTGCGGCCAAAGTTGCTGCAGCCAGCTGAAGATCAGCAGGCCGAAGCTCAGTGTTTGTGTCTTTTTTTGGCCGGCGAGAAATCGCCATAGATGCCGCGGCCTCGGCAAAAGAAAGACAATCGGAAAATGGACTGCCGCAGGGTCGAGCTGTGTTTCTATGAAATCCCTTTGGGTTCCAAAAGTATGAACTTGTCCCAAGCACCTCTGATATGTTCTGATAACTTCCACATTTGTTCGTGAACATGAGCCAATGAGACCACTCCTGAGAGACATTCCCATACCTGGATTTTCCTCGTTTGTTTTGCCTTTTCATCTATCAACACAGCCAAAATAACCAAAAGGCAGACATGTTTCATACTGGAGTTGGAAGATCGAGATCCATCTATGGGTATATGATTATCCATCGCATCACAAGGTTCTTCACCGTTTCAACGCGCCAAAAAATAGATGGGTCTTATGAGATGGTCGGGCCACAGGGTCACAATCCAGTCCAAACACTCGGGTCATGGGACTGGGACCCTAGGGCTCCTGGCCCAGATCCGAAGGTATGACTGGACCCTCCTGGCACCCACTCCAACCATTGCAGCCCAGATGGGTTTATGGATATTGACCTACATCGCCTGGGTCTAGATGGTCCGACCTTTGAGCGGGGGCCGCCCATATCATGTGTTTTCCCGGCCATGGCCCACTCCTAGCCGTTTGGAGGACTGCCAGGTCCCACAGTCGACGTCGTGCCAGTAGGGCGCCTGTGGTGTCACCGAAGATGGCGGGTCGTAGCTCTTAGATTTTCAGGCTATTTCACATGATCTAAGTTAAGTCAGTGTGAGTCTGAGTGCATTTTGACTGGCCAGGCGAGCTGAGAGGAATATCTTTTTGGATCAGAGACTGAAGCACTCGGTTTTGTGGGGTCCTAACTGCTTCCATGTTCCGAGAAGCAGAGTGCTGTTCATCATGGGGTGCCAGCTTCATCTCCAGGTCTTCGTTCCCAGTAGTACAACGTCCTTCTTGCACCTCCACTTTGCCAGGTGCCACATACTTTTGATGTCTTTGACCCAGAGTTCTTTCCTTGTTCTTTTGGTTTTGTGGAATAACACTGAGTGTATTCTCCACTTCACGGGAAACCACGTCTTTCTCTTCAAGGTAACGCACAATTAGCAAGCAGGGCTCTGGACTTTGCAAACTGGGTTGGTTCCGCCCAACCATGTGTGTATTGAAGATATATACCTCGATCTTCTAACTGTAATAGTTCTCCAATCCCGGGATTTTAGAGATACGTAGAATTTCCACATTACCTCTTTTGGCCCTTGATGTAATTTCTGCCTTTTGGCTAGCTTTATAGATGACAAGGCAGAAATTAAGGGGACCAAAGACTGCACCCTGCCGCCTCCTTGGGGGCGCCGAAAAGCTGCGGCGCCCAGCGAAGCCGCATCCGGCGACTAGTCGCTGCTCAGGGCATCTTTGTGCTCATCCATAAGGCAGATGTTGGAGATCTCATCCGCCTAATCCCCAACCAGGCGCGCGGTAACTTGACATCTCAGGCAATCGAGCCGGACTTGACATGTCTGGGCGGGGTTGAGGTGTTTTCACACCACCCATCTTATCTGCAGATGCTCCGCAGAGGTTCACAAAGGGATCGCCTAACCTGCAGCATGCAGTATATATGTTGAACTATCCTGATATCATGTTGTAATATTATATACCCTAGCATCCAATACCCTTAAAAAATAAAGGGAGGACAAACATTCACGAGGTTTCATTTGGAAACCCGAGGTTTCCCAACTTGAGAGTGTGACATGTTTGCTTGGCTTGCTTCGCCGCCTTTTCAGAGTCCGCCGTGGTCTGCGTGACTTTGACTTCATGCCGTGGACTTAGAAAGCCAGCTTCACAAAAGAACATGCGTTAGCACACAAGTGTTCATCATACAACAAATACACATGACATACCCTGCTGGTCGATGCGGATGGTGTTGCATGGCGTTTCTTTTACTCTGGCTTGACCAAGTATCCACAGTCAACCCACTTAGCGAAGGCAGCTTTTAAATACCTGTCCATAATCCTGGACAAGCTCAAGTCACTGGTCGCAACCTTTCTCGAAACACGTGATGCCCGGCCGATGAAGTCCTCGTTTTGCTGACAGCTGGTGCCCAATGGGTTTAGGGCATATCGGTTATCTTTCGAGGCTTTGCTGAGTGCCACCAACCAATGTGGAATGATGTGAATCTTGGGTTGGAAGACGAACAAGTTCTTGTGCTGAGCATGTGCCTCTTGGGCCAATTGCTCGTAGCGTCGGAGAAAGCGAAACCCAAGTTCAGAAATCTGGTGGCTCTCTGACGGAGAGAGAAAAAGATCAGCAGAATACATGCCCCTGATGCATGCCTGTATCGCATGACATGCTTCTGCAGCCTTGGTCAGCATTGGATCATCAAAGCTTTCGCTGAGGAACCGCCATTCAACATACTCCATTAAAACTGTTGACAACTCGCCCTTGTGCCAACTTCCTGTTGGAAACTGGGACGTAGTGGTCCAATTCAACAGCTCCTTGTTGATCTTGATCACATGCGCACGTCGCTTGTGCACACGACACCATGTCTTATATTTTTCAGTCAGGGAGTCGAAGCGAGCATCCACACTGGAGTGTGGTTCCAGTTCGCTAAGAATCACCAGAACTGATCCCAAGTAGTTTTTCGATACACCAAGGTGCCATACATGGAATAGGTCGTAGGCCCACAGCTCAGATAGCCGATCTTCCACGTGCAACACAACACTGAAAGGATTTGGTTCATCAAATGGACTTTCCTGGTGAAGCGTGGAGAGCCATTTTGGCCTTCTGGTGGCGATTTGTTCGAACTGCACATCACTCGTTCCTGCCAAGCACAAGTGACATATGCCTGCCAATCTCCTTTGGGACAACCTTTTTTGAACTGTAAGGAACGATCTCCGGAAGTATCCACTTTTGTGTAAAAACGGCCAATCGCCACAAATGTGAACCAATTGCATCCAGTGCCTTTCACCTGAAAGGCTTTCAGCGCCAACCTCACACATGTGCGCCGCCTCTGTAGCAGCCTCTTCCAGAACCAACTTCCAATTGTGCTCGCGCTTGTCGGTGTAGTCACGTTTTCTCAGGCCTGTAAAAAGCCACCTGCTGGTGTAGGAATGTCCTTTGAAGTTCGGCTTCAATTTTAGGTAGCGCTTCAAAGGCTGCGCTTTCTGCTTCTTTTGCAAGCAAACGCCACGGCCCAGCATTGGGTAAAAACTCAAGACCATGAATGGTGATCGCTTGCGCGATCTGCCCTCGTCCCCATGAAAACATATTGGAGCAACTCGGCTTAAACACACTTCTCCACGAGCAGCCTTCTGGAAGATGGGGTGCTTCGGGTTCCACTGCTTGTAGCGTGCCCAAAACACTTTCAATATGGATCTCTCCCTTTTCTGGTCTGGTCGGACCAGTCCCGTGCAAAGGTGCCAGCAATTGTGTTTCAACAGAAATCGAGCCCAATCCCTGAGCCTAAGCAAGGGAATGTGGCAGCCATCATCTTTTGTTGAAAGCCTAGATTGCGGAATGTCCAGCGCTAAGCCATACTTCTTTGCTAGAACCTTGTGTGTCTCTCTTTCGGAGTGTCTTGGATTGCAACGTGCAATATCTAGAAGGCCCACGGACCGTGAAGCAGCACGTGGACCAATATCTGCAACGACGTCCCGGGCGGTATTGATGGCCGCGGCACAGGAGGCCTAGGTAGCAGGTGTATCACACACACAGACATCGCAAAGCATGCAGTTGCTCCATGCTCCGCAACACAACATGATGTGTTTGTGACTCAGATATGGAATCTGCTAGCATTCTCAAACATATGTATAGCATGTGCCCAGGCTGCCCAGGAGTTCTTTTCACTCTCTTTGTGCGTCTCATTGTATGGGAGCGATATTGGCATGTGCAGTACACGATGCAAATGAAATTCAAACAGCACAAACAGCTTTGTGTTGTGGCTGTTCGATAGGTGGTGGGTGCTTGAAACTTTTGTAGACAATGTAGGTGCTGAAAGAGTCTTCTCCTGAGGTCAGCGATGGCTTCACAGTATCTCCGCCGCTCTTCACGTTTCTGCAACCCGGAGTGCCTTGGAGGGAGTGGTCAATGAGGATCCTACTCCTTCAACACGGATAATACCGTTGAGAACAAAGAACTATTTGGGTGGAAAGTTCGCAGGGGTTCCAAGCAAATGTTAAACATCGATACCTGGTCACCCCTCCAGGTTTTTTACAAAGGGGATTGAAGATGGTGCCTGGAGACATTTGTAGATGTCGATCAAGGCAGCTTCCAGCATGGCAGGGCTATAGGGCTCGTTGGTCTCAAAAACCACAACCATGGTGGACCATCTATCCAAATCTTTGTGATATCCGTAGATGTCGTTTCCCCAGCGCCATTGAGGATCATGTGTGTATCCGATCTTGAATATCATAGGGGCGTGCTTTGCAAGCAAACCATCCACAATGTCTTTGGAATGTTTCAAGATGCGACCAGCGGAAAGTCCAGCTTTGGGGGTTTTGTATTCGATTGGAGCGAACATGTTCCAAAGCAGTCCAGACCGAGAACGTTCTACAGAGCCCGTGTGTTTGATTTTGCAACCCATTCGATCCAAACAACCTGTAGGTTGTTCCACAGGTCTAACCAGAGCTTCCCTCTTCAACTCATCGCGCATTGGCGGCTTCCAAGGCAGCGATGTTGGCTGGCCACTCCTTGCCCAAGGGAATGGAAGATGCTTGTCCTCATTGTTCGGGCGGCAACACGGTTGAGGGTAATCAAGAACCACCAGTTGTCATCAGGCCTCGTATATTTTTTTTATAATAGATCGCTCGTTATATTACAATATGGTTTCAAGGCTGTTCATCATAACAGCAAACGAGGTTCAGAGCGATGGCACGTAAATAGCTCCCACAATTCGTCGTCGGCGCTTTCAGCCATCATGGGCAATGTTAAAGCCGAGCGTTTTTCATGGAACCAAAAAGGCTTTCGGACGAAGGTGTGTGAACCTTTGACTTTATCCCACCAGGCAAGCACTCGGTCTTTGCTTGGGCACCCCGGCTCCCTCACCAATGCGTTCAGCCATGCCCCGTGCTACTTTTCCTGGGCGTGGACCTGGCATGGAGTGGAGTAGACGCGCCAACAAAGATATATAATTAAGGGGGTCTCACTGCAAGCACCTTTTTGAGCGATCCCCAAATACAGCTCGAGTTCGGCGCACAATTTGTATAATTTGACATTATGGTCAAAACCACAATGTACAAAGCAGGTTCTATAAAGAAAGTCATCCGCTTTGTGCCACCACGGTCCATTTATGCATGCATGTATATAGAAGCTTTTCACCAGTGAAGAACACGTTGAAGAAACACAAGGGACGGACAGATGGTCATAATCTTGAACTCCAACTGCAAAGCGGTAGCCGTGGTGGGTTATACTCATGCCTTTTAGCAGAGCCTTCTCACACGGATGGACCACCCAAAATGCTCTAAGCTATATACTAAGACTTACTTTTTGGTCTTAGGACGAGACTTGCCCTTGACCTTGGCCTTTACCTTTGGGATCTGTTTGACACTACCATTACCCTTGGAGCCAGTAGTGTCCGCTCCCTGAGCATCATCTGACGCAGACTTCTTCGTGAAGAACTTCTTGTTGGTCCTTTGTTCAACATGAAGGGACAACCAATACCATCTATTACGATCCTAACGAAGAAGCTCGATATTGAAAACAATATTCATGCACTTACACACGCAGGTATGCTCATCAGTTTTGTAAGGTCGATGTCCTGGCTTTCAGCTCCGCGGATGCTGCCTTGCTGCACCTCAATCCAGGTGGCGAAACTTGGTCACAAACATGGGTGCCTGTTCAATGGGGCCCGTGCACAACACTGGCTGCCTTCATGGATTTCTCGGCGAGGGTGTAGAACCTTCAGAGAACTTCACTGCAATCACAACGGTATAGCCATGTTCACGATACGAAGTGCATTGAACAGGGCTGGAACGAAGGTTTCCTAAGCTAGGCACGTTTCAGTGAAGAAGCCTTCGGACTCACCTTTGCACCATACGTCGCTGCAATTATCATATTCCCGGTCGATGCCGGCGATCTCCGTGCTCAAGGAATTGATCGACCTGGGTGCAAAATGGATCATCATGCTCGAGATCTATATATGTTGTTTATTCCACACCCGATCTTCTTTGCAAGAACCTTGTCTCAAAAACATGAGCGTGGTGACGTTTGAGCGGGTGTATCAACCGTGTACTTGGTTTCAATCTCGCGGATGAGGGAGCGAAGTTTCCCTGATTTTGCCATCATACTGTCCAGCACCCTTTTCAAGGCTTCTTTCGTCTAGCAGGGTTTGGGTACGAGTCTGAGCATATCAAACATGCATCCAAAATATATATACAGAATTCATGTTCTTTTTTCCATGAGCACGCCTGTCCATATTTCGAAGTCGGTAGTGGGTCAGAAGCATTACGCTTCCCCTCCGCAGCGTGACGGTTCTCCAAAGCCAACATTCCCTCAAACTGCTTGTCAAACTGGCACTTTGGATCTTCATCAGCCTGCGTATAGATCGATAGATGGAGACGTGACGCTCAATCTATATCAATAAAAAAAACTCAACCAAATGCAGTACAGTTCGACTGATTACACCTTTACAACTTGATCAATCACTTACAAAACCGTTCAGCACATGATTTGCCTTGGATTCCTTTTCATGAATTTCTTCGTAGGTTGAGGTTTCCTCCCGCTTTCCACTTTCACTCACCACTACCCAGAACTCTTCACATCCATCGTAGCGGTTTCTCCTGCCAACAGTTTCGACAAGAGCGACACACGTGAAAACAACGCTGGATGAGGCGGCTGCCACTTAAGCGCAGAAGGTCCTACAATGGGTAGCCCCCATGGACCGGCAGTAGGCGATCGCTCCTTCAATCCTGGTCCTGGGGTATATATCGAGGGCATGAGAAAACATTGATATCCATTGCATGGACAAACGGTTGTTCATTATCGTTATATGGTCTATATACGAGGTAACACAATGCACGGTGCCCACCTTGACCATCCTAGTTCCTTTAACTCTTCCTCAGTGTGCCAGCCCTCGGAGACAGTCAACTGAATGACCTGTTTCTTGGATACGGCAATTTTGATCTTGGCCAGAAAGTCTTCCTGGAAATGGCTATGCACAAGGAACACTATATATATACCGGTCGATATAACACAAAAGACTTTATTGTTTCAATGAAACACAGTTTGAGTAATATGGAATCCTGGTTGAAATTGCAGTGGCAGTAGAGGTCGGCAATTTGGTTCCGGTTCCCGGACTCCCATTCCTTTCTAAAGAACTCAGGCGCATCGAGATTCTTGCGCTTCTGGTGCGGGCGGATCCACCTGTAGATCTTCGCCTTCGCCGCTCGACGAAGCCTTTCCTGGATGGGGCCACTCTACCGTACGCGACATGTGGCATACTGGGGCAGCTTGCAAGTCACAACTGCCAAACAATAGATCGATCTATACACTTCAAACAGCACTTCAATCGGGATGGCCTTGCGGGTTTCACCCATCTCACGATGGCCACGAGGATCAATAGCGCCACCAGCTCCAGGGGTGTCTTCAACGATTTGAGTAGCAGGCGTCTCAGGTAGCGGACCTACTTCCTTCAGCTCGTTGGGGGCTTCACCCTCTAGCTTCGTTTTTTTGGTGGGTGGCTCCACGAGGGCACTGGGTTCAATGGGTTCATCGGTTTCATTTAAAACCGGCTCACCGCTCTTGGCCCGCGCCGGAGTGGCAACTGGCACTACAGGTTCAGTGCCGGACAGTGCTGCATCACCAGCCTCAAGAAATGAAAGCACTGTTTGTTCTGAAGCAACACCCAATGAAAGGTACCACATGTGCGCATTCATGTTCTATAGATTTGAATTTCAGTAACCATGAAACTTGCATGCATATCATGGTTTGCATGGACAATATCCTCCAAAAACTGAGCAAAAGACATTGTAAAGATCTGCCGACTTAAGGAGCTCTTCGGCTGTGGCCTGGGAAAGCGGGTCCATGATTAATTTACATGTTGCTGCCACAATCAAATGGTTGACCCATCCAAGGAATGAGCCGGGACCGTATCTGGCAAGGATTCCTCGTGATCCTTGGCAAGGTTGCTTGTGATTCCGATAGCGCTCCCGTTTTGGACCCCTTGTGTTCGTGTCCACAACTATAAGAAGAGATTGACACTCAGTATCTGGAACAGTTTTTACTTGAAGCTGAGATAGTGGCCTTCACCTCAATCACCTCCGGAAAGGCAAACTGCATGTCAAAGTCGATGTCCTGCACATTTGCCAGATCCATCGTATCATGTATATAGCATGGCAAGTCCTACAGAAGACACTAGCAACATTCGAGAAACATCATGTTCCAACCCGCCAATTCCTGCAGCTCTCGCAAAAGGGCAGCTTCTTCACTGGAGTGCTCCACGTGATGCACTCCATCTTGAAGAGTGGAACAACTCCCAAGAACAGATGTTGACATGTGATCAATCACCCCTAAACGTCTTCCACTTGTAACGAGCCCAGAACAGCTCAGGCCAACACACACACAACCTGCAGCTCAAAGACAATTGTTTGAAACCAGCAAATGCAGGCAGCCCCTTCAGTCCTCTCGACCCTTTGATGACTGCATGTGTATACGTTCAAAACTCAAACGGGTTCTTTGTTTTGACACGTCGTTTGAAGAAGGCAGTCATCAGGACATTGCCAAACACATTCCCAAATGAATTTTAAGCGTAGCAAAGCGTTCTAGCACGCATAACTACGCTTCAAACGTTGATTTTTTTGCACAAAAAGAGACCACGTGGGGGCATGTTTATACCCATATTTTTTTTACGGGTAGGTACGGGTAAATTACGGGTGTGGTACGGGTTTGGTACGGGTTTGACATACCCGAGGTATGTATCAGAACCCGAGGTTTCATCACCAAAATTACGGAGAGGTACGGATAAGTTACGGGTATGGTACGGGTTGGGTACGGGTTTGAACCTCCACCCGTAATTTTTTCAGCAAAAAGTGATAAAGTGTTAACCAACTCTTGTTTGGACTATTGAAACACAAATGAAAAGATAGGGTTTTCTCATCAACATGAATCACTTGCATACTCATGAGTACAAACAGTTGAACATTGTTATACCACAGTGGTCTCGTGCAGTTTGATTGGCAATAACGTTTGCCACTCACGCGGTACAACCAAATGCTTGCACCGCCTTAAATAGTTGTACACAGGTATAAAGTCCGCAAACTGCCAGGTATCACTCTCTTCCCACCCAGCGGTTGTAAAGGTTTCAATCGCGGGTGGCAACAACTC